CCCCTCAATGGTCTCCCCCGCTCCGTTACCCGCGCGCCTCCTCCCCGCGCATGCGCGCTCCCCCAACTCCCGCCTCCCTTTCCCGCCTCTCTGCAGGTCCTGGCAGGTCCATAGCGACCCTCAATCCCCCCCACCTCCCACACCCCCAACAAACCCAGATTCACCCTCATGCCGCACCGCTACACCGCGACAATATCGCCGCGGCTACCCCCCAAATGAACGCGGCGGCGATTCACCCCCGCGCTTTTTACCGCAATCCCGGCGCCGTGCAGGACCCGCGGCGCCGGGAGGCGGGGCGCCAAGATGGCGGCGGCTGTGAGGGGCCGCCCCAAGATGGCGGCGGCTGTGAGGGGCCGCGCCAAGATGGCGGCGGCGGCGGCGGCGGCGGCGGCGGCCTGAGGGGCGGCCGGGGCTCCCCCCGCGGCCCCGCCGCTCCCTCCTGGCGGCTCCCCGCGGCTCCGGGGGGCTCGGCGAGAGGGCGCGGAGATGGCGGAGGAGAAGAAGCTGAAGCTGAGCCACACGCTGCTGCCCGCCGAGTCCATGAAGGTGATGGCGGAGGCCATGGGGGTGCCGGGGGTCCCTGAGGAGACGTGCCAGCTGCTGGCGGAGGAGGCGAGCTACCGCCTCAAGGAGGTGGCGCAGGTAGGGGGACACCCCCAGATCTGGGGGGGGTTCAGGACCCCCTTGGGTCCCTCACCTTTGGGGGGTGGGGGTGGGCAGGGGGACACCCCCAAATCTGGGGGCTGGGACCCCCTCAGAGCTCAAATTTTCCCTCAAAAATCCCTTTTTCCCCACCCACGCCACCCCCAAATTTCTCCTGAAACCCAAAATCCCCCCACCCCGCCCCCCAAAAAATCTCATTTCCCCCCATTTTCCCATTCTGGACCCCCATTTTCTCCCCTAAATTGCCTTTTCACTCCTTAATTCCTCCCAAAATCTCCTTTTCCTCCCATGTTCCCATTTTGGACCCCCATTTTCCTCCTAAATCGCCTTTTCACTCTTTAATCCTTCACAAATTCTCCCTTTTTCTCATCCTAAGCATCTTTTTTTTCTTACTCCAAATGACTTCTCAACCCCTCAAATCTCCTTCCCCCTCATCTTCCCAACCTAAATTAATTTTTCATCCCTTTTCCCCCTCATTTTTCTAACTTTAAACACATTTTCATATTTTTCCCCAATTTCTCCCCTTTTTTTGCCTTTCCCCCCCATTTTTCTCCTTTTTTTCCATCCTAAACCCCCTTTTCCTCTCAAGTCCACCCCACTCCCTTCTTAGATCTCTTTTTTCCCCTTTAAATCCCCTCACAAATCCCATTTCCCCCAAATTTAAACACATTTTCCTTTTTTCCCCCATTCCTCCTTTTCCCCCCATTTTTCTCCCTTTTTTCCATCCTAAACCCCCTTTTCCTCTCAAACCCACCACACTCCCTTCTTAAATACCTTTTTTTCCTTTAAATCCCCTCACAAATCCCATTTTCCCCCCAAACCCTCTCTGAACCCCCCTTTTTTTCCTAATTCATCCCAAAAATCTCATTTTTTTCCCACAGGATGCTCTCAAGTTCATGCACATGGGGAAGAGGAGGAAACTCACGACGGGGGACGTGGATTTTGCCCTAAAACTGAAAAACGTGGAGGTAAAACTGCCCAAAAACTGAGGAAACACCCCCAAAAGCCATGGAAAACTCCCCTAAATTGAAGAAATTCCACTAAAATCGAGGGGAAATCTCCCAAAATTGAGGGAAATTCCCACAAAATCCAGGGAGAATCTCCCAAAAATCAAGGGAAACTTCCCCCAAAACTGAGGGGAACTCCCTGAAAATCAGGGAAAAGTCCCCTGAAATCAAGGAAAAACCTCAAAAATTGAGAGAAATCCCCACAAAATGCAGGGAAATGTCCCCAAATTAGGGGAAAATTTCTTAAAACTGAGGGAAAATTAGCCCTAAATCAAAGGAAACTCTGCCAAAATTGAGGGAAATTTCCACAAATTCAAGGAAAACTCCCCCAAAACTGAGAGAAATATCCCCAAATCTGAGGGAAATCTCCACAAAACCAAGGGAAAACCTCCCAAAACTGAAGGAAATTCCCACAAAATTGAGGGAAAACCTTCCAAAACTGAGGGAAATTCCCACAACATTGAGGGAAAACCTCCCAATACTGTGCAAAACTCCCTGAAAATCCAAGCAAATACCCCCAAAATCAAATGAAATCCCACAAAACTTCAGGAAAATCCCTTCAAATCCAGGAAAATCCGTATTTTTTACCATTTTTTAGCCCCTGCACGGGTTCCACGCTCAGGAGTTCATCCTGACGGAAAAACTCCCCCAAAACTGAGGGGAATTCCCACAAATTCAAGAAAAATTTCCCCAAACTGAGGGAAACTCACCTAAAACTGAGGGAAATGTCCCCAGAACTGAGAGAATCTCCATGAAAATCAAGGAAAAAACCCAAAAATTGAGGGAAATCCCCAGAAAATCAGGGGAAATCCCCCTGAAATCCAGGAAACTCCCCCAAAATCAGGGATAATCCTCCCAAAACTCCATGAAACTGCCCCGAAACTGCAGGAAACTCCCAGAAAATCCAGGAAAATCCCATTTTTTTCTGTTTCCCAGCCCCTGTATGGGTTCCACGCCCAGTTCATCCTGAGGGAAAAACTCCCTCAAAACTGAGGGGAAACTCCCAAAATCTGAGGGAGATCTCCACCAAACTGAGGGAAAACCTCTCAAAACTGAGGGAAATTCCCGCAAAATTGAGGGAAAATCTCTCAAGACTGAGGGGAAACTCCCCAAATATGAGGGAAATCTCCACAAAATCCTGGGAAATGTCCCCAAAATCCTCCTGAAATCAAGGAAAATCCCCAAAAATTGAGGGAATATCCCCCCAGAACTCCATGAAACTGCCCCAAAACTGCAGGAAACTCCCTGAAAATCCCAGAAAACCCAGGAAAATCCCATTTTTTCCCTTTCCCAGCCCCTGTATGGATTCCACGCCCAGAAGTTCATCCTGAGGGAAAACCTCCCAAAACTGA